GTCAAGTTCAAGCTAAATGCAATAGCACATGGGGGACACCTTTGGTATCCCAGACAATCATTAACACACCTGTTCAACTGAGATGTCATTATCCCACCCAAAAGGTGTAGAAGGAGACTATGAGTTTCTTAACTGGTTGTGTAATGCTACATGTAGACTGAGAAAGACAAGAGAAGGTTTCAGTTTCCTGGGCTCTTTAATCTCTCAATGCTGATGTACTGTTTATTCCATTCTACTCCACTCTTTCATATAAATGTGAGTAGGCAAACATGCATGCATTTCTACTTTTTATTCTAGGAATTGCAGTATTTCAGGCAGGCACATACCTAGATATATTTCCAAAAGCACTGACCATTTTTTTGTGTGAAATTAGTCATCCAATATCAGTATGCTTTGTCACATTTGGCAGATTCAAGTCTAGTAAGTTCTTGGATGGGACACAGTCAGGTATTCCAGAACTGTAGACTGAGCTGGGAAGTTGACTAGACTAGAAAGTAAAATAAACAAACTAACAAATGGGAAGAAGGCAATAGAGAACCACTATTGCCAAGAAAATTGTGGGTATCTACATTAAGCCCCCAGGAACTAGGTTTGACCTGAAGATGATTTCATTTTAATTTGGTTCTGAGACAGTCCAGTGGAACTTCCCACCAGTCAGTTCTTATATTTATTAAGAAACAATGGGAGTGTGTGTAGGTAAGCGTCTACATGTTTAGGTGTGCAAGAAAGGGTAAATTGCAGGGGAGGGTTCCTGTCCAAAAGGTGAGATCACCACCCCTGTTACAGATTTGTTTGGAAAAATCCTTCTTTCATGAAGACTCTGGTTAGTCTTTGTTGAAAGGCAGCTGTTCATGGAAATTTTAAAAAAAATGTTTTCAAAAGATTTTTAAAAAGTGTTCCACATTTTAGCCCCAAACTCCTGGGGATAGCAATGAAGAGAGAAAGCAAGAGGAAACATATGCTATTCTAATAACTCTTCTGCAAAATATATAACACCATAAAGCTTTGCGCTAGGAAGATTTTCCAAGGATGACAACTACAGTACAGTTTCTTGCTGCTGTATGCCTCTGTGTGTAATGGGGGGGGAATCTCTGTGACAGATCAGCTTCTGCCAGGATGCTCATAAGCCACGGGGGAAGGGAGCCCAGCAAAATCTGTTAAACCACGTAAAGGTGATGACAAAATGAATCTGTTGTAATTTCAAAAGCTACGGTATGTTGAAAACGTCTAATTTGTAAATGTAAACATTTTTTTTAAAAAAACTATATAAATCTGTTGTCATTTCAAGATTTAAAAAAATTAATGATGACTGTTGCTTCAGAAAGGGTAGGTGGCACTATTATTTTTATTATGATTTAAATTTCTAGGCTGCCCCACTCCAAATACCGCTGGGTCTGCCAATAATGGGAATTAGAATAGCTGCTAAGAACCAATATGGATTAATTGGACAGCTTTAAATTTGTACACCTTGGAAGGAAGGGGAATGTATTCCAAAATTTTGAAACCAAAGTTTGATTTAGTTTGATTTTTAAAATAGTCCTAGAATTCTTTGGAAGTGATAGCCTTGCCTTTATTCAATATAAGACCATGATAACATATTTTGTTATCATTTCCTCCCATTACTATTTTAAAGGTTTTTGCTATATCTCTGAAATTTCAATGGGTGAAAATTCTGAATGCAGAATGATTTCTTCCACACCACAAAAACCATTGAGAATTCTTATGTATACATTATACAGTGTCTAACATGCTGGAATAGTAGCAAGCCCTTTAAAGTGCAATCCTGATGGTATCTATAAGCAAACTTCTGAGTTCAGCAGGACTTTATCTCAGTGGGCTAGCAGGTGTGTAACTGGTGTCTTCTCATTTTGGGAAGCGCTCACAATTTCTCAGTCCCTATGGAGATTCTCAGTTATTCAGGTCATGGTTGTCTCACAGGTGCTTTTCAAGAGGCAACTTGTTGGACTTACTGTACTTATCTTTCTTTGAAGATGTTTCGCTTCTCATCCGCTTCAGAGCTGAAGAAGCTTCTTGAATGAGAAGCAAAAAAACTTCAAAGAAAAAAAATAAGTCCAGTTGCCTCTTGAAAAAGCACCTTTGGGACAATTTCTCAGTGCCTATAGTATTATAGTGCCATCTGGTGGTTGGCTAGTAACACATTAATAAATGGATGTGGCCCCAATCTCCTTTCAGTACTGTATATTTATTGAGTATGCCTCAGTTCTCAGTACTATTAGTTCTTTAAAAATCTTGCAAGGAAATTGAAGTGAATAAAGACCGTAACAAACAAACTTTCCAAGATTATAAGTGTTTGGTGTAAAGTTTATCGTTCCTATTTCTTACTGATATGGGCCTTTCTCTGGACAGAAAACTCTTCTCAGATAAAACACATCTTCTTTGACCTCTCCTTATTTTTCTATCCAAAAACTACATATTTCCCCATAGCTTCTGCTTGAGTATAATAGTTGGAGCCCTGTCTAGGCTGTGAATGCAGTTGGCATTCTGAGAAATGCAATTTTACCATAGGAGGAAAGCTTATTCAAACTTTCTAAAAATAATAAAAGTGGGATTTAAATAAATCAAT